CTTGAACTTGCATCGATGAGATGCATGGGGACCTTTGCATCGATGACATTTTTGATAATTATTACTAGATTTAGATCTAGGCTTTAAACGTGCAGGCTGTTTAGCATAAGTTGGAATGCTCTGATAGGGTTGGTGTTTGTTGACTAACCTGCTGTTTACTGCATGGATTTCTGAAGGTGCTAGAGATCTCGCCGCATCGGATGACTGCTGGAATGAAGTTGCAAGTTGTATTGCTTTTTCTAATGTTAGATCTGACTCGAGCAGCAACTTTCTTTGAACATCAGGACTGTTTACACCTGTCACAAACTTTTCACATAGTCTGTCAGACAGCGTGTCTCCGAATTCACAAAATTCACTTAAATGACGTAAAGCAGCAACATATTCTGATATTGACTCGTTTGGTTGACGAGTCCTACTGTCAAATCTAGCTCGACATAGAAACTTTGATGGGGTAGGCGCATGGTGGTCTGTTAGCAATTTGCTCAGCTCGTTAAAGCTCTTGGTAGTTAGACTAGCTGGTGCGCATAAGTCCTTTAGTAGCCTAAATTGTTGAGGCCCTATGACTGTTAACAAAACAGCTCTCTTTTTGGCTTCTATCGTCACGTTGTTTGCTTCAAGGTAAAAGCTTAACCTATCTAGATAATCATGAATGATTTCATCATTCGAATCAAATTCTTTTATTTGGCCATACAGCGCCATTATTCTAGAAATACTTAGCCAATATGCTCTAGCAAACCTCTTTTTGAGTAAGTAGGTGCTCTTTCTAGTGGATCATTTATCCTCGTCGCCAGATGTAATGGATTGGAAACACTGACGAGAAGCCGCGTTGGTTGTTAACAAGTCTTTATTCGGCCATGATGGAAGAGAGAGAGCGGAAGTGACGAGAGACAATTATTTTATACATTTAAGGGACATCACTCAAGATAACAGTATAAATATAATACTAATACAAGAAGAGTGAGTTCCCTTGACTTCACAGGTCATAACTTTTAAACTCTAATAGCAAACTGCATAAAAATAGCATGTTTGGTGCACACTTGGGAGATGAACAATATCTGAAAGTTTAATAGCTAAAGCTTAAGTAGTTTTTGAAAAATCTTGACATTTGTGCTAAAAATATTCGAAAAATTCATATTTTGAGAAAATTTAGAAAAAAAAAGAAAGATTTGACAAATCCTGATTACTAAATTGAACCTAAAAGCCCCCAGGTATATATATATATATCTTTATCTATCTATCTATATATATATATATATATATATATATATATATATATATATATATATATATATATATATATATATATATATATATATATATAATATATATATATACACATATATATAAAATCATCTTTGTGATCATCTGCATTAGTTACTCTAGTTTTTGTGCTCTTGGACATACTATTCTGGTTTTGTTGGACACTTAGTGAAGACATATGTTTGGATAGGTACTGTATTGATAAAAAGCATTAATTAACCCACCTTGCAGCATAATTCTGGGGAAAAATGTATGTTTTATGGTGAAAATGGGCTAAAATCACCCAAAAAGTTACTGTAAGTTATGGTAATGTCAAGATGATTTAAGTCCTACTTAAGATATTGAAAAACAAATTATTAACCTTTAAAGCTTTACTTAAAATACACAATCTGAACTATAATTATTTAAATCCAATTAAAATTTTTCTTTAATGAATTTTTACCCATGTGACTATAATTTTTTTAAAAAGTAGTAGCAGTAGGGATAAGTTCACAAGTCATAACTTTTAAACTCTAATAGCAAACTGCATAAAAATAGCATGTTTGGTGCACACTTGGGAGATGAACAATATCAGAAAGTTTAATAGCTAAAGCTTAAATAGTTTTTGAATAGTCTTGACATTGGTGCCAAAACTATTCTAAAAATTCATATTTTGAGAACATTGAAAAAAAAAGAAAGATTTGACAAATATATATATACAATCATCTTTGTGATCATTTGCATTAGTTACTCTAGTTTTTATGCCCTTGGACATACTAATCTGGTTTTGTTTGACACTTAATGAAGACATAATTATCTTTTTTTCCCCATGCTCGAAATGATTCCTCTGCATAAAACCACAAAGTTTAAATACTGGTCTGCGAACAAACTCCTTGATTATAAATAATTGCAGCATCATGTTCAGCTTTTTCCAACCTTTTTTTCCTACTAAGAATGTCTTTGGACACCTCTTTCTAATTAAATTGTGAAAAGATTCATTCGCATTCTGTGTACACCCGTGCAAACACTTCTCTAATAATGCCTTGGTTGAGATAATTTTAAATACTGGTTTAATTTCATCTGTTACAAATTTTGGTAGCTTATTCTTATTTGCTTTATGCAAGTCATTTTGTCCAGTACACCACTGTCCATTAAAAAGCTACTTCGAAATGACCCCTATCCATATACATGACTTTGACAAAATAATGTTTTCGTAAACTAATGTGCATCATTTTTAGTTAGTCCCTCCCAATTTTTTGTGCACTTAATGCGCAGATTTTTGCTTTAGCTGTATTTTAAAACTGCTATTGCTTAACAAAACTTGACTCTATGTAGAATGTGCAACCTCCTGTGTTAACCCACTCTAATTTCCCATTGGGGTCAAATAATGCAAAATTAATGTTAGAAATGTGTAACGTAAATAATTAATCCAAATGGATGTGTCTGTTTTCTCTGTATTTCATAGAAAACACCCACCACATATACAAACAACAAAACAACACTTTACAGAAAAAAATGTGATTTCTTTAATAAATTGCAAATTTGCACATGTTAGATAAAAATCTTCTTTTACAATTTTTATTACTGCAAAAAATTTGTGATATCAATAACAAATTAAAAATTCATCACATGTTAGAGAAAAGTCTTGTTTTATTTTTTTTTTTATTAGAAAATAACCTGCTAGGCATTATATGCAGTTTAAATGTATGTAAAAAGTATGTAAAATTTATAAATGTCATGAGAAACTATTGCTCCAAATACACAAGCAGAAATATAGAACAATAATATTAAAGTAATTTTTGTTATGTAAGCTTTATATAATATATAGGCCTATATATGGTTACTGTTGATCAGTGATAAAATGAAAGGTTGTGTCTGTAAATTAAGATGTTATGTATAAACAATAGCTTAAAACCAGTTTTTTTCTTAGCGTGACGCAACAAAATGATTACCCACAGTTTTCTTGTGTGTTAAGATACGCCAAATTTTTTATAAACACAATTTTCAGTAAGTTATCCTACATATAAAATGTATAACTGCAAACAGCAATGCTCAGTATTTTCAGTATCCAATGTTTCATTTTTCATTTCCTGACATGACTGTTAAGACTATTAATTTGAATAATTTTCTATCAGGTTTCTATATAAGTAAAACAATCAATAAGCATATATATTTAATCATTTTAATGTAAGCATGTACAAATTAAATACATCTAATTGTTTCTTTTAGCAATGAATTAAAATAGATTAATAAATTCAAAAAATTAAATTGTGTAAGAATAATCATAAAATCGCAATACCATTAAACTTAAACAAATCAGCTGTGTCGTAGCCTACGTGTAATTGCTTTGTATGTTGTGTTTAATTAACAGTTAATGCTGCATGTGTAGAGAGTCAAAAAGCTATTACATTTTCGTATTTTTATTTCTGTATGTTGTAACACGGACTTTTAACACCAATTGAAACCAATATTTAAGTGCCTTATCCCTACAATATATATATATATATATATATATATATATATATATATATATATATATATATATATATATATATATATATATATATATATATATATATTGGAAGAGTAGACACATTAGAATTTTTAAAAAATTTCCTTTTAATTTTTATTATTATATTTTTCATGTAACTTTTACACCAGAATGAACTTTTTTATGATTAACCTTTGAAATAAACATTTTACTACACTTGTATGGCTTATCTCAAGAATGAATATAATTAAATTGAGAAAAATTATATGTGTCAGCGAACAAACAGCATATGGTTTAGTCTCATAATGTATGTATTAGGTGTAGATAGACGCAAACATATGTGAAGCGTGATCAATAAGGACGGGGGAGCAGACGAGGACATAAAATGTCGTATAAACAAGGCCAGATGTGTCTTTAATTCACTGAGCCCGATGTGGAGGTGCACGGCCCTGTCACTCCAGAGCAAGATAAACATTTTCAATACAAATGTCAAGGCAATATAGCTCTATGGTTCGGAGACTTGGAGGGTTACAAAGGCAAATACCGATAGGCTACAGTCGTTTACAATTAAATGCTTACGACATATACTTAAAATAAGATGGCCAGACAAAATATCAAACAAAGACCTGTGGTAAAATACAAAACAGGAGCCAATAGAAAAGATATCAAGGCCCGTAAATGGAGATGGATTGGTCACACGCTAAGAAGGAAATATTGCAAAACATACTATGGACTGAAATCCCCAGGGAAAAAGGAAAGTGGGCAGGCTAAAGAAAACATAGAGAAAAACGGTAGAGGAATACGCAAAGACCGCTAGTCTCACGTGGGCACAGATAAAGGAAGTAGCCCAAAAGATTCAGGTGGAAAAGTGTAGCTACAGCCCTTTGCTCCCGAGGAGACACAAAGGAAAAATGATGATGAGATAGAAGCATTATGAGAAAACCTTTTATGACAAACATCACATTCGAATGGCTAAACTCATGCATGAATATGATGGTCCTAGAAAAATCAATTACTTAATAGACTTTTTGTGACAAACCTCAAATTCGAGGGTTCGAGCTCATTTATGGCTAAATAACTGAATTATATTTTTTTGTCTCAACATCACCTGCCACTATATAAGCACAACATGTGTGTGTGTGTCTTATCCTGTGTAGACTAAGAACTAATAGAGTCATTGCAAACACGTGACCTAAATCACGTGATACCTACGCCCGCCGCCACAGTGGTGTACATCAGACGTAAACACAATCAGCTGTTCGCCAGCGCTGGACGTGTTCACCAGCGCTGGACGTGTTCACTGTATGTAAAGAATCGCGCCGCGGAAAAGGGAAAATACGTTAAAAAACTTGAACTCTTAGGAATTGAAGATCCTTATACAGTTATTGACAGTTTCGTGGATAAAATAGATCTAAATATGTGGCCGAAATTTCTAAATAAAAATACTGCGTCCAGCGCTGGCGAACAGCTGATTGTGTTTACGTCTAACCCTAGACAAATTCCAAGTTTAATTTATCTGATTTACTATAGCTTAGTAAGCAGTGTTATAAAAATATAAATGAAGATTAATGAAAATAATAGTTTATATAACTAGCCTAGTTAAAAATAATCAAAGCAATAAGGATATAAAAAACATTAAGTCAAATTAGAAAACATCAAAAACAATAACAAACGAAAATGTAGAAATTAGTCTATAGTTATAGGTCTAGTAGTAGGCGAATTGGGCCTTGGGAGTGCGTCCATGTTAATCCGCAGTAAAGAAAGTCGACTGAGTGTACCAATGACGACCAATAAAATATGCCTACTTTTTTTTGTTTTTGTTTACAAACAACCTGTATTATAATTATTTCAATAAAACTTTATTAAAATATTTTTATAACAATTAAAATATCTAAAAGGTCTAATAATCTTCATCTGCTCTTGCGCTGCAATGTTTGCACATTGTGGGATTAGGTTCAAACATTTTAGAATCATCGTACTTCCGGTTCTCAGAATATTCATCATCACGTGGTTGACCTAGATGTTTTTTGAACTTAGTAGCTTTTGGCTGATCCCAATGTCTACCAAGTCTCATTGAGGCTAATTTGTTGACAATTAATATCGCATCGATGTTAGCCATAATCGATTTGTTATTCATCAACCCAGTGATACATTCATTGCTTGCTTGATCAAGTCGAATAACACCAAATAACTGACCGAGGCAAGACCTGCGATACAAATACTTTTGTTCTTCAGCTTCTGCTATTTTTTCTCTATTCTGTCCGAATGACTGCCACATTGGATATAATCTATGCCCTGATTTCTGTTTTCCAATAAGATTGCTGTTAGAATTATCTTCGATATTTGCCCACTTTAGCACTGAGATGACAGCAAAATCTGCGCACACGTTCAGTTGGTCGTTTTGAAAAATCTCCAATAAATCTTCCAAAGATAACTCCATAAAGGCATCCGACCAAACAATATCGAAATAATTATGTACCATCGTCTTTCTGGCCTCTGATAGTATCATTGACGAACCCAACAGCTTTGCATTTTGGTAAACATCCCAGTAGTTTTGTATTGTTATGTTCTCTTTCACAAAATTTTCGCAAGCTTCTATTAAAAATTTGATCTGCAACTGGCTTGATGCATGCCACAACTCCAACATATTTTCCTTTCTTAGCACTTCCCAGCCTTTATATATAACGTCAATTATGAGACCAAATGTTTCTGGTGAAATGCCCTCTATGGTACAACTTGATTCAGATTTTTCTCTCATATCTGTCCTCATGAGAGCCTCAAAGAAACCAGAGCAGGAACTTAAGACAAACTTGTGACAGTTGAATTTGGTGTCGTCAATGTTGACCGTAAAGTCGGTAAAGTTATCCATGTTGGCGTGAAAACATTTAAAAACTTCCTTGGCTATTGGAGTAGCTTCTTGAACAACGTTGCTTCCCGAATATCTCTTTCCTAAATCCATTGTTTTTCCGTAAGATTCATGTTTTTCCCCTTTTTTCCCTTTCATTCTAAAGAATAAAATAAATCTTCTTAGATATTTAAAAAAAAAAAACAATCACACCAATGTATGTTGCCTTATTTTTAACAAGAGATGACATAATTTGTCATCTACTAGGATCGTGGGCACCCACATGTTAGGTCAATGGTGGTCAGAGGACTGCTCGGAAAATAAAAGAAAATACACGTTGTGTTACGAAGTGAGATCAAGGTACAGGGTCGATAATACATCAGAGCGCATGAACCATCAAGTAACGGTGTTTCTTAGTTTTAATTACTCTAAAAATTACATTAACTTGACCAGTACAATTTTTGATGATAACGAAATGATGACTTGAACAATGACTGAACTAAGAAAACTATTGTATAATTTATCTACATTCACGATGACGGAACGAATGCCTTTACACCCTAGCACTACATGACGCAGACTGCCCTAACCTTCTTCCCCTTTTTTCTCAATTTTTTATTTTAAAAAGTCCTTCTAAAACACTCATACACTTATACAATTGAAATGCCCTGATACCTTTCATAATACCGGTGGCGTCACTAGGTCGGGTGTCACCATGTGCAGAACATCGTGGTGTCACCCCCCCCAAGAAACAATGTATATATGTATTTCCGTATATATATATATATATATATATATATATATATATATATATATATATATATATATATATATATATATATATATATATATATATATATATATGCTTATACACATTTTTGTGTGTTTGCCAATAATTCTTTCAATTAATAAAAAATCCTTTCTCAACTCATTACCTGTAATCCATTGTAGGTTAGAAATAAGCTCCCGCTGTATACCAAGTAGAAGTTAGTGTGGATCAGTGTTCACCTAGTCCAAATCTCTAACCGTCAGGTGTGTGTAATTTGTGAAGTGCCTGGTTAGGGAGTTCCTTTAGGTGAACCTCAATGGGAATCTATGTTTGCAGGAAATAGGATTCGGTTTTGATCAGCAGGTGTGGATACTGCAAAACTGCACAGTTTTCTCTGTATTTCTGTCCCTCCGTTTTTTGCTGTATCGCTATGTAATAAATAATATTGCTTAACAAAAAAAAAAAAAAAAAAAAAACAACCTGGTCCGATTTATAATAAACGAGCCGACCCGCAGCGTATCATACGCCGCTATTTAGTTGTTTTATTTTCTACTTTTCAGTAATTCATAATTTGTAAATTCGACAGTACCAATGCTGCCACTGAAAATATTTGCTTTAAAACACTAACCCCCCCCCCACTTTCCCCTAACCCTGACCCTACACCCCCCCTCCCCGTGAAAGCAGCCTCCTCTTAGTTATTTCTTAGTTACCTCCTGTAAGTTTAAAATCGAACTAAATTATCTGCCCCTAATAGAAACCCGGCTGTACGGCTCTTCGATTTGTAAACATTTAGCTTTGTAAAAATTTAGAGTGAACACCGCTCACCAGACAATGTTGGGGTGGGGTGGGGGGGGGGGGGTAGTAGTGATAGTGATAGAGAGAAAGAGAGGGGACTGCAAGGAGGCGCTTGCAGCTTGTTTTCTAACTGATCCCAGAAGAGAATTATATATATAGATAATTTAATTTACAATGCTAAGTAAGTACATATAGGCCTCAAAATATATGTGGGTATTTAGGCCTAATATTAATGAAAATATTTCTCACTTTTAGTTTTAATAAATGAACATAAAACCTGTATGATAAAAGGTGCACATTTTAAAACGGGTTATGACTTTTATGTGAATGTGTAACATAGATATATAAACCAACGTTAATACTGGGTCCGAATAGCGGCCACGACTATTGGGACCCGGGTCCAAATAGAGGGCCACTTCCATTTTAGAAGTTTACCTCCTATGTAGGATTAAGACTTTCGGTCTACTTATAATTATAATGATTGTAAATTACCTTAGTTGCTGTATTAAAAACAAAGCCAAACCAAAATAATTCAATGTGTCTACCTATCAAGTTCTTGGAAGTTAGCTTAGGTTGAAATTCCGATATAACATAATACTTATTATCATAGTATAAGTCTCGAAATAGAGACTAATCAAATCATCTAATTTCTGACTATCGGGAATTTCCAATTCTGTATCAGTTTCGAAACCGGGCCAAAGTCCAAGGCTTTTTGAGCCAATAGACTGACTTTTAATGTTCCGGTAAAAAAAAAAAAAACATTAATAAAAATGAATAAATAAATAAATAATGCAGATTATAGATTATAGGCCTACGACCTACACAATCAAATCAAATTAATGTGTGCACAAATTAACACCATTTGACAAAGTAGGAGAGGGGGACACCAGCTGCAACTATACACGCACGCACACCCATATATATATATATATAAATATATATATATATATATATATATATATATATATATATATATATATGTATATATATATATATATATATATATATATATATATATATATATATATATATATATATATATATAGGCCTATGTATATATGTATATATATATATATATATATATATATATATATATATATATATATATATATATATATATATGTATATATATATATATATCCTATAGTTTTATTGGTGGTGGGGTGTGGGGAAATTGCGAGACACGAAAAGCGAAATGGCGAGGCGGGAAAATAAGAGAACATAACGCGAGACATACCTGCGGAATTAAGGGTATATAGCGAGACTATAGTGGACTAGGTCAATATGTATTTTTTTCCTTTTTATTTTTATTACTATCTTTTTGCCACGGGTGTTAGACGTTTGCGAGAGTTCTGTTTTCACCAATGGACGCTTGACCAAATGAAACAATTGCTCGTTTGTCCCAATGGAACAAATGCTAGAACATTTATTGTGATTAAAACTTAATCTTTTTCTTTGTATTTAAAAACAATAATTATGGTAAGCAATAGTTTCTTTCAGGCATCCTTCAGTGCCCCCCCCCCCACATCTTCCTTAGAGCATGTCCAACTGCATTTCACTTCTCGGAGAAAAATGTCTGAAAGAAACCCTGCTTTCTAGGCTGGTCTCTCCAACTGTCCCCAGATGAATCTCTTTTGTTCAGAGTTCTCTTTATGTCTGTCTTACTGTTGAAGTTGTGTGAGTGTAGTCTCTGGCCCTACTCTGTGTGTGTGGGGGGGGGGGGAGGGAGACATCCACCGCCAAAGGTATATTTATTATAAAATAAAGACATACAGTGCCCACCGCCCCTTACTCCAGCACTTTCAGTAAAAACCCACTAGCCCCAATATTTTTGTATAATCATAAACTGTATTTTTTCTTTAAAACAGACTTTCTAAATATTCAAGAATGAAATGTAAACACTAGGATGGTTAGAAAGTGTAAAGTAAAACTGAAACTTTGAACATTTTTTAGAAAACAAGAAAACCACTGCAGATTAAGCCAGCATTGAATTTTTTTAAAGCATAGAACAAAGTTAAAACTTGTTTTATATATAGAAAGAGGCGAGTTTGTGCTTTGTCAATACATGTAAACAGAACGATTCCTAGCATGGTATCAAGAACAATGAAGAAGAGAACCTTAACTTCACCTGTCCCAGGAACTATCTGAAAACTATTTCAAACTTCTTCTTCTTCTTCTTCGTTCTTAATTATTAGTGTTGAAGAGGATCGAGATTTATCGACCATTGGGTTCGAATTTATCAACCATGAGCTTTTTTGCCGACTCGACCACGCCTCCAACACAATTAAGCGTTACGTGTCAACTGGTTATGCGCCATTGAGGCCATTGACTCCGACTTCAGCCTGCTTTTCTTTTTGGATTTGCTTCCATAGCCTTTGTCCAACCAAGAACAAACTACAAGGCAGCAGTTGTTTAATTTTGGAGTTGACTCTCCTAGAAGAGTGGCTGTCTCCAGCTAACGAGCCTCATCTGCCCGAGGGTTCGAACTCGAGACTTTTCGGTTTAGCAACCTTGAGCTTTACCGACTCGACCACGCCGACCCCTCTATTTCAAACAAAATTAATGTTTTAATTTTTTATGTGTTAAATGTTCTAAGATTTATGTGCTGTTTATTTCTAAACTTAATAAATTAGAATTTGAAAAAAGAAGAGGAACTGTTACTTGATTAAACTTAATGATAGAAAGGTTGAAAATGTAATTTAGACTAATTGGGTTTGAATAAAGACATCTGAGTCAGCCAGCTCTAATGGGTACCTGATTCCTTCTAGTGTAAGAGGCAGCTGAGTCTAGTGCTGAGTACACTAATCCATCACATGCCAAAAACTGGTGAACTCTACTTCACTTGAAGCGTGGACTGCCAGATTTGAAAGGGTAGGTCTATAAATTGTTGTACAACAGGTAAGTAATGTAAACAAAAGCTACATTAAATAATTTATTTTAAATTCATGTCAAGGTAACAATAAAAAGCAGGTTTTAACAAATGAACAGTACCATTCACGCCAAACTTACGCCATAAAAAAACAACTCAAATGTATTTGCATTAACATATCTAACATTTTAATGAAAATAAGTTAACTGAGGTTAGAAAACAATTCTAAGAAAGAAAAATCACAGGAATATAAAAAAAAAATTGGTAATTTCTGAACATTAACTATTTATCCATGGTTTAGCTGTTAGCTTGAATTGTTTCGATCCATAGGCTTGGTGTAAAGCTCAATTTCCTTACCCCCCTCAAGCAGTAGAGGACCCTGGGGCTGGAGATGCCGTCTGTCATGTCACGGATGAACACTGGCGCCCCAAGGCACCCTGGGCAGATGCCTGAGGAGAAGGCACATCTCTCAAATTCACTAACCGGCCCCTCTTTTTCCATCAACTTGCCAATGGTTACTTGTTGTATGTTACCGTGTGGATAAGACACGAAGAAAACAAATTTATCCTGTGGCAATGTTCTCTGAAACTTTTTCCGCATCTTTCGTTCATGTCTTTTTGCTTCCGCTACCCTGACGCCAATCTCCTGATCATGGGTCACACAGACCACTTCACAGTGTAGACTAGAGGCGCCGTTATAATCTGAGGATTTCTGTTGATTTTTAATTTCCATGCCTGTAAGGACAACAGCTGTGGCGCTTTCTTCTTCAAGCTTCCATATGCAGTCAGTCATGATAACATCTTGCCGCCCGCTCACAAGCCAGTCTTCAGTCTCGATGGTAATTTCAAACCAATCACGAGAAGCGTCAGAAGGAGTTGTTTGACAGCTGTTACAAGGGCAGGTACTCTTACGTTTTTTTACACCAGTTATAAACCCTGTTCGTGGTTGAGGTGTGGGCATCAACACTCCATAGCCGTCATAAGCTGGCGGAAACTCCCCCCTAACAGTAAGACCTGCGACAGCGTGAACTAGAGCCAGCTTCAGATCTTTATGCTTGCCAAACATGTGCTCCTCAGTCAGGTGTTGGATGGGGATGAAATAGGCATGGTCGAAGCAACTGCAGGCTGCAAATCTCTCTTTAGAACCTGTACAAAAAGCAAAGTATACATGAAACAAAGTGATCAAATGGTCTGAAAAAAAAAAAGTAAAGTTTCCCTTTTCAAACCTGATGGTCTATGGGGCAAGTGAAGTAGAGTTCACTTGTTTCTGTGATATGAAGAGAGTGTGGTCAGCACTGTGCCCAGCCGCCTTTACTTTCCCTAACGTGAGTTATGTACCCATCAGAGTTGGGTGGACTCAGGGGCGATCTACTGACTTGAACCTGGATTCGAACTCGAGTCTTACGGGTTAGCAGTCCAAAGTGTACAAAAACTAACCCAAAATACTATAGTTGGGAACCCGGGCTCGAGACTATACAACATCTGAGTCTATCCAGCTCTGATGGGTACCTCAGCAACATTAGTGAAAGTAAAGACTGACATAGTGCTGGCTACATTTTCACTACAGACTCAAGTCAATGATCAAAACCTTGAGATTTTCATGTTAGCACTCCTTGCTTGCCAACAACACAATAGTGAATCACAACATCCAACATTACAGTAGTGAATCACAACATCCAACACCACAGTAGTGAATCACAACATCCAACATTACAGTAGTGAATCACAACATCCAACATTACAGTAGTGAATCACAACATCCAACATTACAGTAGTGAATCACAACATCCAACATTACAGTAGTGAATCACAACATCCAACATTACAGTAGTGAATCACAACATTACAGTAGTGAATCACAACATCCAACACCACAATAGTGAATCACGACATCCAACATTACAGTAGTGAATCACAACATTACAGTAGTGAATCACAACATCCAACATTACAGTAGTGAATCACAACATCCAACATTACAGTAGTGAATCACAACATTACAGTAGTGAATCACAACATCCAACACCACAATAGTGAATCACAACATCCAACATTACAGTAGTGAATCACAACATCCAACATTACAGTAGTGAATCACAACATCCAACATTACAGTAGTGAATCACAACATCCAACATTACAGTAGTGAATCACAACATCCAACATTACAGTAGTGAATCACAACATCCAACATTAGAGTAATAAATTACAACATCCAACATTACAGTAATAAATCCCAACATCCAACAACACAATAGTGAATCACAACATCCAACATTAGAGTAGTGAATCACAACATCCAACACCACAGTAATGAATCACAACATCCAACATTACAGTAGTGAATCACAACATCCAACATTACAGTAGTAAATCACAACATCCAACACCACAATAATGAATCACAACATCCAACACCACAATAATGAATCACAACATCCAACACCACAATAATGAATCACAACATCCAACACCACAGCAGTGAATCACAACATCCGACACCACAGCAGTGAATCACAACATCCGACACCACAGCAGTGAATCACAACATCCGACACCACAGCAATGAATCACAACATCCAACACCACAATAATGAATCACAACATCCAACACCACAATAATGAATCACAACATCCAACACCACAGCAGTAAATCACAACATCCGCCACCGCAGCAGTGAATCACAACATCCAACACCACCATAATAAATCACAACATCCAACACCACATGAGCTAAACTTACCAGGCACATCTGAAGACTCCCACCTCACCACCTCTTCAATACACCATGTTGCACAGCACTCTGATATCTAGCATAGAAAAAAACAAATTGCTATTTCATATCCTACATATATACACGTGTATAAAGTAAAGCCTCACAAAAATATAAAAAAGTGGATACAACAATCTTTACACAACACTATCAAATTTATAAAAACTGTACCCATTACTTTAAAAATAAATTCAGATATTTAAACATCAGTAGAGAAAGAATAAGAGAGAAGTAAAGATAAACACCTAACAAATTATTAACAGCATCGTTTAAAAAAAACAAAGGAAAATACTATAAATGTTTTATGTGTATGCTTACCTGTTCATTTTCTTCATAGCTTTGGTACTGATTTCCTGAAATAGACATTTTGATGATTATCTATGTATCTATTTATGTATCTAAGTATCTATGTATGTGTATCTATGTATGTGTCTATATGTCTCTGTGTCTGTATGTGTCTGTGTCTATGCATGTATCTATCTCTCCCTATATATATATATATATATATATATATATATATATATATATATATATATATATATATATATATATATATATATATATATATATATATATATATATATATATATATATATATATATATATATATTGCTTTTTGTAACTATCTAGCTATAACTCCAAATCTAGCTAGAACCCCAAATCGATCAGTAACCCCAAATCGATCAGTAACCCCAAATCGATCAGTAACCCCAAATCGATCAGTAACCCCAAATCAATCAGTAACCCCAAATCAATCAGTAACCCCAAATCAATCAGTAACTCCAAATCAATCAGTAACTCCAAATCAATCAGTAACTCCAAATCAATCAGTAACTCCAAATCAATCAGTAACTCCAAATCAATCAGTAACTCCAAATCTATCAGTAACTCCAAATCTATCAGTAACTCCAAATCTATCAGTAACTCCAAATCTATCAGTAACTCCAAATCTATCAGTAACTCCAAATCTATCAGTAACTCCAAATCTATCAGTAACTCCAAATCTATCAGTAACTCCAAATCTTTCAGTAACCCCAAATCTATCAGTAACGCCAAATCTTTCAGTAACCCCAAATCTATCAGTAACTCCAAATCTTTCAGTAACCCCAAATCTATCAGTAACTCCAAATCTTTCCGTAACTCTAAATCTATCTGTATCCATATATCTATCTATTATACTGAGATAGAAATATATGTTGAGAAAATTAAATAAATCTTCCTAAGATTAAATTTTGCATGATACAAAATGGGGAGATGACTGAAGAAAAAGTTCCATGGGCTATACCAAGTCTAATGTGCTGTATCTGAGCAGTGGTTAAATAACATGATTGAAGATTGAAGTGGTGCATTTTTGTGTGGGTGTTTGTGTGTGGATGGGTCTGTGTGGGTGTGGATGTAGGTGGGTGTTAATGTAAGTGGGTGTATGTGTGGGTGGGTGTTTGTGAGGGTGTGTGTATTTATGTGTTTGTGTATGGGTGGGTGTGTTTGTGTGTGGATGGGTCTGTGTGGGTGTTAATGTAGGTGGGTGTATATATAGGTGTGTGTTTGGGCAGGTGGATGTTTGTGAGAGTGTGGGTGTGTGTGGGTATATTTATCTGGGTGAGTGTTTTTGTGCACTGACAGATTAGCTCAGCCAGATAAAAAAAAAATCACACAGAGAAGCAACTTTTTAAGAAGTAGCAGTAATTTTTTTGTTCGTATTGAATGAAAAAATGATAAAATGCCTGTAAACTAATTAGCACAATTAAAGCAAAACAAGCATATAAAGTGTACTAAAAAGGGGTCTATTCTTTCCTAATTATAAATCTAAATGCTTATATAACACTAAAAAAAAGTGTCTATTCCATCAACAATGAATTGAATTCTAACACCAAAAATACATCAACATCCGTTCTATTAAGATTTCTCAAAATTCAAATCTATTGTGGTATTTATCATTTGTTAGGATTTCCGGAAATATTCAAAAAACTTGTAAAAGTAAGAAATTCTTTACCTTTCTTTAATACTAGAACATTTCAGAAACTGACAGAAAATTTGTAAGTATTCATCGATTTAGACAATGTTAATATGTACACAGCAAGCACTCTATTTTCTACTAATGCTAACCTTAAATGGCCACATGACATAAAAAAAAAGAAACACCTATTTCAACAACACAGTAAAGTAACTAAACCAACAACGCATAACGGTGCCCTGTCAAAACGGCCCGGGACAAATCGGCCCCGTCAAAACGGCCCCGTTAATACGACCCCGTCAAATCGACTCCCGACAAACCGACCCCGTCAAAATAGCCCCGTCAAAAGGGCCCCGACTTATTGGCTCCCGTCAAATGGGCTCCCGTCATATTGACTTGCGACATATAGGCTCCCGACAAATGGGCTCCCGATATTTAGGCTCCCGACAAATGGACTCCCGACATATTAACCCCTGACAAATAGGCTCAGGACATATTGGCTCCCGACAAAGCGGCTCCCGACATATTGGCTCCCGACATAAGGGCTCAAGACAAATGGGCTCCCGGCAAATGGGCTCACGACATTTTGGCTACCGACAAATGGGCTCCCGACATATTGGCTCCCGGCAATTGGGCTCCCGACATATTGGCTTTTGACAAAATGACTCCCGACATATTGGCTCCAGAAAAATGAATGATATGACCACTATTGGCATAAAAGTAACCATTGTGTCCTACCTCCAATACCACCATAACCTCTTTTTAATGCCCGAATGAAATTATTTTTTCATGAACCAAAATTAATTAACAAACAAATCGAGCCCTTAACAGCTAAATTCCACCAATTCTAATTTTTGATAATGTTTAATTTACAACAGAAAAGATCTGTTGCTTAAAAGCGAGCACAGAAGTGTAAATGTATGATATACATGATGTTAACATAACAGCATTTTGTTTTGATAACCTACAAGCACAGTGGCGTAGCGAGGTCGGGTGTCACCCGGTGCGGCACTTAATGGTGTCACCCCCCCCCCCCCCCAGAGGCTTTGCGACCCTTCCCGGGGACAAACTTTCAAGTTTTCGATTTGCACCCCCCCCCCAAACTTTCGATTTGCACCCCCACCCCCTCAAATTTTTCTCTATATATTTTGCTATTTTTTGCCTTGGTGTCACCCCCCTAAATGGTATCACCCGGTGCGGTCCGCACCCCCCCCCCCCCTCGCTACGCCCCTGTACAAGCATATTGCAGTTAGGAAGGTACAGCGTGGACCCTTCTCCCCACACAATGAGTTGGAACAGCCTATAACCGACTCAATTATGGATGTCATAGATAGATGACCCTTAAATTAAAACATACTATATTTTATAATAGATAAACTAATATAATAATAATCATTAAAAAAGTTTTAAAAAACCCACGTTTTCTGATTGAACTAAAAAGTAGAAAATAAATGCTATACATCACAATAATGCAAGCGATCACTCTACTATAAGCGATGAAAAACGTGGGGCGCCGAAGTAAAAGTTATATTACTATTGATTAGATAATACTATTGACTTTTATTAGGGAGCTTGTAGAGAGTCAACAGTATTAGAAACTGTAAGAAAATCACGGCGCCCCACGTTTTTGCTCGCTTATAGTAGAGTGATCGCTTGCATTATTGTGATGTATAGCATTTATTTTCTACTTTTTAGTTCAATCAGAAAACGTGGGTTTTTTAAAACTTTTTTAATGATTATTATTTTCTACTTTTTAGTCTTTGTCTGTTTGTTTGCATTAAAATCTTGCTATCGATTTTATCTTTTCATTTTTTTTGGGTAAACGAAGACAACTCGTAAAAAGACAACTCGTAAAAAGACAACTCGTAAAAAGACAACTCGTAAAAAGACAACTCGTAAAAAACACGTTGTTTGAATACGTTACTGACTAGAACACATAGATTTGAACCCGTGTCGAGTGGGATAGCAATCGTGTGCCCAACCACTCGACCATATCGTCTCCCCCAAACTGGCCTACCTCCTGTAAGTTTAAACTCGGTTCAAGCTAAATTCTCTGCCCCTAAGCCTGTGGCGACATGTGATCGTTCGCTTCACTGCGCGCGAGGTACGCGTCGCTGGTTTTTTTTCTAATGGCTAGCAGAGGAGAATTATATATATAGATTATATAGCGGTCTAAAATGCTCAATAAAATGTTTCCATTGATCAATTTAGTAATAATAACAATTGAATATTCAATGGTCATCCAAAAGAAAGCTTCCCTGAAAATTTCAGCGCGCTAGCTAACTGGGAAGTGCCAGAAATTTCGATCGCAAGATTTGATTGGAAAGACAAACACAGAAACACACAGAGAAAGCAAGTTAAAGAAAACGTGGGAAAAATAAGGCCTGCCGAATAAGAGATGCATACGTTGTATTACATAAGAGTGTTGGATAAGCTAACTCTAAAGAATATTGATCAAGGGGTCCCACTGGCAGATGTCATATTCAATGAGACCGCTTTGCCGGGAGACTTAGTCTCTACAGAAACGGTATTGTCAGTGCAGTGGCGTAGCTAGGATTTTTGGGCACCTATGCAAAAATTATCAGTGGGCCCCTTCGTCAGCCGTTAGGCCAGTGGCGTCGCTAGGTCGGGTCTCACCCGGTGCGGCACTTCGTATTGTCACCCCCTCCCAGGAAACAAAGCATATATTTTTATATATATATATATATATATATATATATATATATATATATATATATATATATATATATATATATATATATATATATATATATATATATATATATATATATATATATATATATATGTGTGTGTGTGTGTGTGTGTGTGTGTCGGCCTACATAGGCCTACAATTTATATATATGCCACATACTGGTGCACGTACGTGTTTAAGCTTTAATCACTGCTGACTTAATAGTGACGATGTTTATCTACAGTCTGTTTATAATACAGTTGGATGTAGCATTGTTGTCTTTATAGTTTACGTTTACGTCGTGGTGTCACACCCCCCTCTTGATATAATTTTCGATTTGTACTTAGAAGACTATTTAACTTTAACTAATGGATCTGGAAAATGGCATTTCATTCTATAAATTTTACAATTTTTTGCCTTTGGTGTCACCCCCCCCCCCCTAAATGGTGTCACCCGTTGCGGTCCGCACCCCCCGCCTCGCCTTCGCTACGCCTCTGCGTTAGGCTACAGAGGAGTTAAACGAAGAGATCAACTTCTACTTACGATGGATATTTTTAATATATAAATATTCTGAAGGCAACATTTTGTATTTTATATGTCCTGATTTTGTATTTATACTATATTATTATGCTTGCCTACTACTGCTAAAAAGTTTATTTATAGGCTGATTCTCTCAATGTCTTGCACCACAAAGTGATATAGCCTGTAGTGTTATTATAACGATTGGGCTCTGTTTGACCCACAAACACTGAATCCCACTGCCGAAACGGTGGGGGGGGGGGGGGGGGGGGGCTTTTTGGAACTTTTAACCTTTTTCTTTTTTAAAATTATTTATATGTAACAAATATTAAAATTCCATTGTAAAAGTTAATTTTTTATGAGGGAAAAGGGCCCCTATGTGCCTTGGGCCCCCATGCCTTGCTTACGCTAGCTTTACGGCAGCTACGCCACTGTGACAGTGGTCCTTTTGTCTGGAGCCAAATTGACAGGAGCCTTTTTGTCGGGAGCCAAAATGACGCTAGCCTATTTGTCGGGAGTCGTAATGACGGGGGCCGTTTTGTGGAGAAACTAAATGGCGGGAGCCTATTTGTCGGGAGTCGTAATGACGGGGGCCGTTTTGTGGAAAAAACTAAATGACGGGAGACTATATGTCGGGAGCCAAAATGACGGGAGCCTATTTATCAGGAGCCTTATTGACTGGAGCCCTTTTGTCGGGAGCCTATATAACGGGAGCCTATTTGTCGGTAGCCTAAATGACGGGAGCCTATTTGTCGGGAGCCTATATGACGGGGTCCATATGTCGCTGGCCCTTTTGACGGGGCCGATTTGACGGGGTCGTTTTGACGGGGTCGTTTTGTCGGGGTCGTTTTGACGGGGCCGTTTCGTCATTGGCCGAATTGACGCCGCACGCGCATAACTGATGCATTAGCAGACTTGCGCAGTCTTCTGAGCTGTACAATAAGTCACAGAGACATCTGTGTTCTACATGTGGAAACATATTTAAACACACAATTCTACATCCAAAAGTTGTTTACATGTGATATAAAAAAGGGAGAAAATGTGTAGAAAAGATCTAAAATTTCTAAAAAAAATCTCTAAGTTGCTTTAAAAGAAGAAAAAAAAAAGACCTTCAGAGAGAGGAAAAAAGGTAGATTACTAATTAATAAATTATAAAGACATATTTACAGCAGAAGAACTAATTTTTATACAGATGTTTAAAGGAATCTGGTCTAGATTGTTTTGGTCTAGATTTCCAGAACCTGACAATTTTAAATAAACCGGGAGTGATCTCCCCTATACTTTCTCGAATATTCTTATATAAAATAACGGGATGGGAACTCGGGCTATAGACATGATTTTTAATCCATTTTAAATACTTAAAGTTTTAAAAATAGAATAATATCTCTCAGACAAATTAATTGCACACCAAGTGAACGCCAAATAAAAAAGTGCATAATAGTGCGCAATATTATTAGTACTTTAAAAATTTACATTAGTTTTTTGAGAAATCGGAAGTAGCGTAAATTACTACTTCCGGTTAACGGAAATTACTCAAAATTACTCTGAAATAGTACTCAAGTTATAGGCTTTTGAAAAATTCAAAGTAGGAAAAGTACCACTTCCGGTTATCGGAAATCGCTCAAAAGTTGATACGGATATATGAAATTTCATCAACCTAGCTGTAACGGTACTCAAGTTATCGTGTTTACACACGGACACACACACACACACACAGACAGACAGACACACACACAGACATATGGACAAGATTGCAAAATTATGTTTTTCCGTATCAGTGAGGTGTAAAACGTCGAGATTTGTAATAATCTTGATTTTTTTTTTTTTGCACGATTACAAGACTTTCTCTATACTTCGTATATACGAAAAAGTAAATATACAAATTTACTATCAAAACTGACATAAGGAATTTTATAATACACCAATTTTGACAACACGAGACAAAACAATGTAAACACAAAAATCAAAAGACACAAAACATTGTAAACACAAAATCAAAAACACTTAACAATGTAAAAACAAAATCAAAACAATGTAAACACAGAACCAAAACACACAAAACAATGTACACAAAAGTTACCTGAAGCCCCAAGAAACTCCACCTTCTGTACAGTGCTGTAAGTGTTCCAACCAAGTGCATTCTATATCAGAAGAAAAATATTTAAACAATTCTAACCTTAACACTTATGTAAGATATTTTTTAAAAATCCCAAAACTATAACAAAAAGGCTTCACTAGCCACTATAAGTTTATAGAAATGTCAACAGGGATTAAGAAAGATAAAAAAAACCCTTAAATACAGATATGACAAAATCACGACAAGTTAAAAAAAAAATTTACTAGAGCATCCACAAGACTCTCGCTTTTAGAAGTTCCGTTAATGTTTCCTGAAACTTGACATAAAATTTTTACAAGTTAAAATTCTTCATATTTCATTACTTACTGTTACGGATCAGTTGTAGGTTCAATAGAAATAGGTTAGAATAATCTATAATTAGGGGAGAGTGCGTGTGTGAGTTGAGTTTACCCTAGAGTATTGTTAACCCTGGTGTGTTTATGTATTATTATCTCAAGGTCGAATGCGGTATAAAAGCTGGAGTGAACGGTTGTAAAGAGTTGGTAGCGGTTAGGGCGAGGGCTACTCTGTTATGTGAAGAATTGAGTCCAAATAAAAGTATTGAAGTTAACAACGAATCATTTCCAAACCCGGACATAACACTTACAACAACCTAAGATTAAAAAAAAAAAAAAAAAAAAAAAAGATAACATTAATTATGATATTATAATAATAGGAAGATAATTTTAGTTACCTGAAGACTCATCCATCTTCACCAACTGTGCAGTAGTGTAAGTGCTCCAGCCCAGTGTGTCCTACATTAGAATAAACATTTTAGGCAATTCTACATCCTACACTTGCTTATGTAGGATACTTTAAACATTATTTTAAAATTCCCGAAATTATAAACATAGGCTACAGAAGGAACTAACTATTTATAGAAACAGTCTGCTAGGGTTTAGAAATAAATAAAAAAAAATACATTAAAAAGTTATAAAAACATCACTACAAATATGGCTAAAAAAAGTTAAAAAAAAAATATATTTACTAGAGCATCGACAAGACTCTCGCCTTTACAAGTTATGTCAATGGTTTCTGAAACTTGACATAAAATATTTAATAATGAAAATTCTTCAATTTTCATTAATGACAACAACATTCTAAGCAGTAAATGTATTTAAAAAAAAAACAACCTATGATTAGAATATAGCTATTATTGAACAGTTTAAAAATTGGGGAAAACTGAACAAAAACTAACACAGGCAATAGAATATGTAACTTGGCAAATGTAAGTAGTGGTTGGCTCTTCAAGCTAAAAATAGTGGTGAATGTTTTTGTCTGGGTTGTCAGTGAAAGGTGTGGTTTTGTGTGGGTTGTCAGAAGTTGTGGGTTGTCAGTGGAAGTGGTGTGTGTTTTTTGTGGGTTGTCAGTGGAAGGTGTATTTTTTTTAGGGTTGTCAGTGGAAGTGGTGTGTTTTTGTGTGGTTTGTCAGTGAAAATTGTGCGCGTTTTGTGTGGGTTGTCAGTGTAAGTAGTGTGCATTTTTGTGTGGTTTGTTAGTGGAAGGTGTGTTTTTGTGTGGGTCGTTAGAAAATTGTGTTTGTGTGTGAGTTGTCAGTGAAAGCCTGAAAGAAACATGGATAAGAACCTTACAATCTGATTAAAGTGTTACAATTACAGAAGTAGGCAATGTACTTTAATTTGCTTCCAGTTTAAAATTAATATCCTATTTAAGTGTAATGAAATATCAGGGCATGAAATATAACTTTTTCCTGTTCCAAAATGTGGATCTATTTCCAGAAATGATTTAATTTATCTTGTAAACTATCTAAAAACACCTTACAATAAAAAAAGTAATTATGTAAACACCTACACTCATTTAAATCAGCCATATCCTGATTGACATTTTCAGCCTGAAAAAAACAACAAATTTGTATTTTAAACCATATGGACATATTAGAAAGGGAAATCATCTACCCTACTCTAAAACCATTAGCTGTATTTGTTTAGTTTTTTAAACAATTAATGTAAGTTACTAAAGGTAGAATCTTATTGAAACTTTTATTCAATATACATTGAGAGCCTTGAAAGTACAACAAGCAACAGTGATAAGTCTATACATTATGATCAAATTGGAAGTTTCTGAGGTCATCCAGGTATGCACTCCCCAACCAGAGCATGTCCAAAGAATATAATTTATGCAGAAAATGTATACTGAGAACAAAGTCTAGAAAATACCCAACTTTCAACATTTTTAGCAACAACTAAATAATTAATATAGACATGGGATAGCTGTGGGTTATCTAGTTTGTTTATTTAACATTTTGCTTCTGTTTTGATGTCACTAATCTGCCCCACATGGGTTCAAGTCAGTAGAATGTCCCTGAGCCTACCCAGCTCTGAGAGGTATCTAACTCACTTTAGGGAAACAGAGGCGGCCGGGCATAATGCTGACCTCACTATCACCTTGTAAGTTGAGGTCATTGTGAGAGATGAACTATACTTTATCTGCCCCGTGTGTCTTGGGCACAAGTGGGAAAAGATTGTGAATGTACCACACATACAGAAACAATTCTCCCACACATGTAGAAACCATTCTCTAAAAAAATAGAAACCAGTCTACACACATCTAGGAAACCATTCTCCCACACAAATAGAAATCATTCTCCCACACACACAGAAACAATTCTCCCACACATATCGAAACCATTCTCCCACACATATCGAAACCATTCTCCCACACATATCGAAACCATTCTCCTACACATATAGAAACCATTCTCGCACACATAAAAACCAGTTTTGAACACATATAGAAACCATTCTCCCACACATAGAAACCATTCTCCCACACATATCGAAACCATTCTCCCACACATATCAAAACCATTCTCCTACACATATAGAAACCATTCTCGCACACATAAAAACCAGTTTTGAACACATATAGAAACCATTCTCCCACACATAGAAACCATTCTCCCACACATATCGAAACCATTCTCCCACACATATCGAAACCATTCTCCTACACATATAGAAACCATTCTCGCACACATAAAAACCAGTTTTGAACACATAAAGAAACCATTCTCCCACACATAGAAACAATCCTCCAACACATATAGAAACCATTCTCCCACACATATAGAAACCATTCTCCCACACATATAGAAACCATTCTCCCACACATATAGAAACCATTCTCCCACACATATAGAAACCATTCTCCCACACATATAGAAACCATTCTCCCACACATATAGAAACCATTCTCCCACACATATAGAAACCATTCTCCCACACATATAGAAACCATTCTCCCACACATATAGAAACCATTCTCCCACACATACAGAAACCATTCTCCCACACATATAGAAACCATTCTCCCACACATATAGAAACCATGCTCCCACACATATAGAAATCATTCTCCCACACATATAAAAACCATTCTCCCACACATATAGAAACAATCCTCCAACACATATAGAAACCATTCTCCCACACATATAGAAACCATTCTCCCACACATATAGAAACCATTCTCCCACACATATAGAAACCAGTCTCCCACATATATATAGAAACAATTCTCCCACACATACTGAAACCATTCTCCCAAACATATAGAAACCATTCTCCCACACATATAGAAACCATTCTCCCACACATATAGAAACCATTCTCCCACACATATAGAAACCATTCTCCCACACATATAGAAACCATTCTCCCACACATATAGAAACCATTCTCCCACACATATAAAAACCATTCTCCCACACATATAGAAACAATCCTCCAACACATATAGAAACCATTCTCCCACACATATAGAAACCATTCTCCCACACATATAGAAACCATTCTCCCACACATATAGAAACCAGTCTCCCACATATATATAGAAACAATTCTCCCACACATACTGAAACCATTCTCCCAAACATATAGAAACCATTCTCCCACACATATAGAAACCATTCTCCCACACATAGAAACCATTCTCCCGTACATATAGAAACCATTCTCCCACACATATAGAAACCATTCTCCCACACATATAGAAACCATTCTCCCACACATATAGAAACCATTCTCCCTTAAATATAAAAACCAGTCTTGAACACGTATAAAAACCATTCTCCCATACATTTAAAAACCATTCTTGAACACATAGAAACCATTCTCCCACACATATAGAAACCATTCTCCCACACATACAGAAACCATTCTCCCACACATATAGAAACCATTCTCCCACACATATAGAAACCATTCTCCCTTAAATATAAAAACCAGTCTTGAACACATATAGAAACCATTCTCCCACACATATAGGAACCATTCTCCCACACATATAGAAACCATTCTCCCACACATATAGAAACCATTCTCCCACACATATAGAAACCATTCTCCCACACATATAGGAACCATTCTCCCACACATATAGAAACCATTCTCCCACACATATAGAAACCATTCTCCCACACATATAGAAACCATTCTCCCACACATATAGAAACCATTCTCCCACACATATAGAAACCATTCTCCCACACATATAGAAAACATTCTCCCTTTAATATAAAAACCATTCTCCCACACATATAGAAAACATTCTCCCACACATATAGAAAACATTCTCCCTTAAATATAAAAACCATTCTCCCACACATATAGAAACCATTCTCCAACACATATAGAAAACATTATCCCCTGGAACAAAGCACACTGATAAAACATTTGTAAACCATAGAAAACAATATCCTCACCTGCTTTTGCAAAGACCAGGATTGCAACTTGATCTTTGAAAAGAAAAGATTAAAAATATATGCACACATTTTTAAAATAAAAACACTTTCTACTGATGTTTAAAAAAAACAATAATTTAAACAGCATATTAAATAAATATCATATGGGTATTGACAAAGATAAAAAACTGTTCCAAGAAAGATTAAGCATCTACTAAGTTAGAATGTTGGAGGGGGGAGGGTTAAGAAAGTTACTATGTTAGAATGTTGGAGAAGGAGGGGGTTAAGAAAGTTACTTAGAATGTTTGGGGTTAAGAAAGTTACTTAGAATGTTTGGGGTTAAGAAAGTTACTTACAGTGTTGGGGGTTAAGAAAGTTACTTAGAATGTTGGGGTTAAGAAAGTTAGAATGTTGGTAGTTACTTCACCTTAAAAATTTCAACATCGTCAGAAAACTTTGTAGACAAACTATTTAATTTCGGGATTATTTCGTTTAATCTTGTGGCTATTTGAAACAAATCCAGAATTATTTCCCTTTGCCTGGTACAGATATCTGTCAACTGGCTTTGCAGGATCACATATTTCAGTTGTTTTTCTTCTTTTTCATTGCTCAAAAGGTCTAGGATAAGAAGGGTGCAAAGTTAGTGATACAATGGACAGGATGGTCAAGTGGTAGAGTGTTTGACTGTCAACATGAAAGGCTGGAGATTATGTTAAAATGAAACATTAGGGTTTTATTCTGAGCTCTTAGTGGAATTGAAATGGAAACCAGTTTTCACTTCATCAGGGCTAGGTTAAGAATGATGCAAAGTAACAGTGGGACAGAGTGGTCTAGCGGTAGAGAGCTGGACTGCTAACCTGTAAGGGTCAAGTTCGAATCCGGGTTCAAGTCAGTAGACCATCCCTGAGTCTACCAAGCTCTGATCAGTATCTAATTCACGTTAGGGAAAGTAAAGGCGATGTACATAGTGCTGATCAAACAATCCCTTAATATGCCGAGGTCACAGAAACAAGTGAACTCTACTTGACTTGCTCCATAGACCGTCAAGTTTAAAAGGGAACTTTACTTTAATTACTAAAGTAACAGTTAATAATACAAATGACAGTATGATGTGGTTCAGTGGTAGAGTGCTTGACTGTTAACATAAAATGTTAAAGTTTGGATTTCAATCTAGACTGGAGTGTGCAGGAGGTCCCTGAGTCCACTCAGCTCTAATGGGTACCTAACTCAAGTTAGGATAAGTAATGGCGGCTGGGCATTTTGCTGACCACACCATCTCTATGTGAAATTTATGAACTCTAATTCATCTACCTGGGGATCATCAGGTCTGAAAGGGGAACATTTTTTAAATATAATATGGGGGGGGGGCTGTGGGGCAGCAGCGAATGTACTATACAAATGTTACATAAAGTTAAATGGGGTTAAACTTATCCTAAAAAAAAATATATATATAAACCTGTAAACTCCATTATCATGCCATTGATCATTCCTAAAGCCTTTTCTACTTCAGCAACCTCAGTTTGAACCTTCTCTTCATCTTTGGTTTTCTGTTTTGTTAAATATCTTCCTTTATTCAGTACCTGTAATAAAATTACATCATTCCACTTGAATTACAAAAACAAGTAAACATCTTTGGTTTTCTTCTTCCTTTCTTCAGTACCTGTAATAAAATTATATCATTACATTTGAATTACAAGAACATGTTAACATCATTGGTTTTCTGTTTTGTTAAATATCTTCCTTTATTCAGTACCTGTAATAAAATTACATCATTCCACTTGAATTACAAAAACAAGTAAACATCTTTGGTTTTCTTCTTCCTTTATTCAGTACCTGTAATAAAATTATATCATTACATTTGAATTACAAGAACATGTTAACATCATTGGTTTTCTGTTTTGTTAAATATCTTCCTTTATTCAGTACCTGTAATAAAATTACATCATTCCACTTGAATTACAAAAACAAGTAAACATCTTTGGTTTTCTTCTTCCTTTCTTCAGTACCTGTAATAAAATTATATCATTACATTTGAATTACAAAAACATGTTAACATCATTGGTTTTCTGTTTTGTTAAATATCTTCCTTTTTTCAGTACCTGTAATAAAATTACATCATTACACTTGAATTACTAAAATACATAAACATCTTTGGTTTTCTGTTTTGTTAACTATCTTCTTTTTTTCAGTACTTATAATAAAATTACATCATTACATTTGAATTACAAAAACATGTTAACATTCCAGGCTCATTGCGTTAAACTGCAACATTTGGGTTTTAGTCTGAAGTGTCTTACAGTAATTGAAAAGGCATATGGTTTTCTGTTAAAAATTGGGCTAAATAGCACTCTTGTATGATAATCATCATCATTTCCCAATACACATGGGACAAATAAAGTAAAGCTCATCTGTTTCAATGACTTCAGCATGCAAGGGGATAATGTGGTAAGCACTAAGACTATACCCAGTTGCCTTTGTTTTCCTAAAGTGAATTAGGTATCCATCAGAGCTGGGTGGACTCTGGGACGTTCTACTGACTTGAACCCTGATTTCTACTGACAAATCATGATTTGAACTCAAGATTTATGAGTTAGCAGTCTAGTATTATACTGTAACAAAATACCCATCTGGGAAAGGAAACCTATTTTTCAGTCACAAAAATATTTTGTAATACAATACTTCACTTAAAAATGTTTAAAAGAGCTGCACTGAAATTTAATTTGCTTACTTGACTTTTGAGAGATTCTATCTTAATTGCTGAGCAGGTTTCAAGATAACAAATGTTTTAAATATAATTATAGGGTAGACAGAAGTGGCAATAATATATTTATTAATGACTAATGTATACATTTTAATTCAGTAATTATTTATAAAATAATTCCCCTTAGAGAAATTTCGAGGGATAAAACTAAATTTAAGGGAGAACAATACTGAATGATTACATTCATACAGTTACTTCCCTTATGTGAAATAAACTAAGGGAGACAATAAATCTGTGTTATATTAAATTATGGACTTTATGAAATCCTGCATTCCTTCTTGACAAGACAAAAATTCATATAATATAAAATAGTATATAAAAAAATCTATTTAAAGAAATTAAAAAATTTATAAACATTATTTGCTTTATGACATTCTAATGTTTAACAACTACTAATTTAATAATATTGGAAATTGAATACATTAACTTCACAAACTAATACTTTTATGAAATGTAGGCCTAAACACTTTATGTATAATCTACATACCATCTTCTGCAAACTTTGACATAAGGTATACAAATGAAATAAAACCATGGCAGTCCATAACGAAGTTTTGGTTTTACTAGTAGGGTAGTGTTAAACCTAGTCCAGACCTTAACAGTACCTACACAACTAAACCTCCAATAAAACTACTAGCAACTAAACCTACCTGAACTTCTATAAGAAACACCATCTATGGGAACAACTAAACCTACCTGAACTTCTATAAGAAACAACAGCATCTATGGGAACAACTAAACCTACCTGAACTTCTATAAGAAACAACAGCATCTATGAAAACAACTAAACCTAACTGAACTTCTATAAGAAACAACAGCATCTATGGGAACAACTAAACCTCCAATAAAACTACTAGCAACAAAACATACCTGAATTTCTATAAGAAACAACAGCATCTATGGGAACAACTAAACCTCCAATAAAACTACTAGCAACAAAACATACCTGAACTTCTATAAGAAACAACAGCATCTATGGGAACAACTAAACCTACCTGAACTTCTATAAGAAACAACAGCATCTATGGGAACAACTAAACCTACCTGAACTTCTATAAGAAACAACAACATCTATGGGAACAACTAAACCTCCAATAAAACTACTAGCAACAAAACATACCTGAACTTCTATAAGAAACAACAGCATCTATGGGAACAACTAAACCTCCAATAAAACTACTAGCAACAAAACATACCTGAACTTCTATAAGAAACAACAGCATCTATGGGAACAACTAAACCTACCTGAACTTCTATAAGAAACAACAACATCTATGGGAACAACTAAACCTCCAATAAAACTACTAGCAACAAAACATACCTGAACTTCTATAAGAAACAACAGCATCTATGGCAACAACTAAACATACCTGAACTTCTATAAGAAACGTCAGCATCTATGGCAACAACTAAACCTACCTGAACTTCTATAAGAAACAGCATCTATGGGAACAACTAAACCTACCTGAACTTCTATAAGAAACAACAGCATCTATGGCAACAACTAAACCTACCTGATTTTCTATAAGAAACAACAGCATCTATGGAAACAACTAAACCTACCTACACTTCTCTAAGAAACAACAGCATCTAATGGCAACAACTAAACCTACCTGAACTTCTATAAGAAACAACAGCATCTATGGCAACAACTAAACCTACCTGAACTTCTATAAGAAACAACAGCATCTATGGCAACAACTAAACCTACCTGAACTTCTATAAGAAACAACAGGACCTATGGCAACATCTAAACCTACCTGAACTTCTATAAGAAACAACAGCATCTATGGCAACAACTAAACCTACCTGAACTTCTATAAGAAACAACAGCATCTATGGGAACAACTAAACCTACCTGAACTTCTATAAGAAACAACAGCATCTATGAAAACAACTAAACCTAACTGAACTTCTATAAGAAACAACAGCATCTATGGGAACAACTAAACCTCCAATAAAACTACTAGCAACAAAACATACCTGAATTTCTATAAGAAACAACAGCATCTATGGGAACAACTAAACCTCCAATAAAACTACTAGCAACAAAACATACCTGAACTTCTATAAGAAGCAACAGCATCTATGGGAACAACTAAACCTACCTGAACTTCTATAAGAAACAACAACATCTATGGGAACAACTAAACCTCCAATAAAACTACTAGCAACAAAACATACCTGAACTTCTATAAGAAACAACAGCATCTATGGGAACAACTAAACCTCCAATAAAACTACTAGCAACAAAACATACCTGAACTTCTATAAGAAACAACAGCATCTATGGGAACAACTAAACCTAACTGAACTTCTATAAGAAACAACAACATCTATGGGAACAACTAAACCTCCAATAAAACTACTAGCAACAAAACATACCTGAACTTCTATAAGAAACAACAGCATCTATGGCAACAACTAAACATACCTGAACTTCTATAAGAAACAACAGCATCTATGGCAACAACTAAACCTACCTGAACTTCTATAAGAAACAGCATCTATGGGAACAACTAAACCTACCTGAACTTCTATAAGAAACAACAGCATCTATGGCAACAACTAAACCTACCTGATTTTCTATAAGAAACAACAGCATCTATGGAAACAACTAAACCTACCTGAACTTCTATAAGAAACAACAGCATCTAATGGCAACAACTAAACCTACCTGAACTTCTATAAGAAACAGCATCTATGGCAACAACTAAACCTACCTGAACTTCTATAAGAAACAACAGGACCTATGGGAACAACTAAACCTACCTGAACTTCTATAAGAAACAACAGGACCTATGGGAACAACTAAACCTACCTGAACTTCTATAAGAAACAACAGCATCTATGGGAACAACTAAACCTACCTGAACTTCTATAAGAAACAACAGGACCTATGGGAACAACTAAACCTACCTGAACTTCTATAAGAAACAACATCCTCTATGGGAACAACTAAACCTACCTGAACTTCTATAAGAAACAACAGCATCTATGGCTACAACTAAACCTACCTGAACTTCTATAAGAAACAACAGCATCTATGGCTACAACTAAACCTACCTGAACTTCTATAAGAAACAACAGCATCTATGGCTACAACTAAACCTACCTGAACTTCTATAAGAAACAACAGCATCTATGGCTACAACTAAACCTACCTGAACTTCTATAAGAAACAACAGCATCTATGGCTACAACTAAACCTACCTGAACTTCTATAAGAAACAACAGCATCTATGGCTACAACTAAACCTACCTGAACTTCTATAAGAAACAACAGCATCTATGGCTACAACTAAACCTACTGGGTGACTAAACCTACCAGAGCTTCTTACACTAAACCAACAGCACTACAGGTAACAATGCAGCGTTCTGTACATCTTAACATACCTGAACTTCTATAAGAAACAACAGAACTTACCCTAGAGACATTTGAATATACTGTATCGAGTAGAATCTGCTCATTCTTCTCTAGTTCATCTAATTTTGTAGACAGCTCCTGCAGGTCCCCCATTCTCAGCCTACAGAAAAGTAGAGATAGTAATTTAAAACGTTGGATGTTAAGCTGAGTTACTAAGTTAGAATGTTGGATGTTAAGCTGAATTACTAAGTTAGAATGTTGGGGAATAGGCTGAGTTACTAAGTTAGAATGTTGGATGTTAAGCTGAGTTACTAAGTTAGAATGTTGGGGAATAGGCTGAGTTACTAAGTTAGAATGTTGGATGTTAAGCTGAGTTACTAAGTTAGAATGTTGGGGAATAGGCTGAGTTACTAAGTTAGAATGTTGGATGTTAAGCTGAGTAACTAAGTTAGAATGTTGGGGAATAGGCGGAGTTATTAAGTTAGAATGTTGGGGAATAGGCTGAGTTACTAAGTTAGAATGTTGGGGAATAGACTGAGTTACTAAGTTAGAATGTTGGGGAATAGACTGAGTTACTAAGTTAGAATGTTGGGGAATAGACTGAGTTACTAAGTTAGAATGTTGGGGAATAGGCTGAGTTACTAAGTTAGAATGTTCAGGACTAATACCTTATGTAATACAATAAGTTGTATTTCTTATACCATTTTCCAACACTGGCACAATAATAGAATGTTCTTAAAGTAATAAAGAGGTGTTTGGTTACTGGCAGATAACTAAATATTCAAACGACTTGCTAATGTCAAGGTGCGCTGACCTTTGACCACAGGTGCTTTGACCATAGGCGTTTGATCACAGCGGGGCTTTGACCATAGGGGTTTTGACCATAGCGGGGCTTTGACCATAGGGGGTTTGACCACAGGTGTTTTCTCAGCAGAGGGTCTTTGATCACAGGCGGTTTGATCACAAGCGCTGAGTCCGGCTTTGATCACATGTGTTTTGTTAATATAGGGTCTATCTTTCTTCTTCGTTCTTAATTTTTGAGTGTTGGAAGGGATCGAGCCATATCTGCCAGAGGGTTTGAACTCGAGACTTTTTCAAATTTATCTACCATTAGCTTTAGCCGACTGGACCACGCCTCCATCAAAATTAAGGATAACGTGTCAACTGGTTATGCGCCATTGAGGCCATTGACTCCGATTTCAGCCTGCTTTTCTTTTTGGATTTGCTTCCATAGCCTTTGTCCAACCAAGAACAAACTACAAGGCAGCTGCTGTTTAATTTTGGAGTTGTCTCTCTTAGAAGAGTGGCTGTCCCCAGCTAACAAGCCTCATCTGCCCTAGGGTTCGAACTCGAGACTTTTCGGTTTAGCAGCCATGAGCTTTACCGACTCGACCACGCCGACCCGATATAGGGTCTATGATCACAGGTGGTTTGTCCAATGCTGTCCACATATGGTAAGGATTTATTTTAAAAGTTGGTAAATTATATTTTTAAATTGTGACATGATGTAATAATATGTTAAATCATTATGTATAAATTTGTACACCGCCAAACGCGTGACCCGTCCTGGCGTTCTCTGTGATACCAAAATTCATGGCCATGATACAACAAAGTTATTTTACTTTTTTTGACGTGCTATACTCTCCAAGATTCTCCATGTTTTTGACAGAGTGGTTTAGATGGCAAGGTGTCACGGGAGCAAGCTACCCAGCTGAGAAGCGATACAAGATGCTGCACAAAAAAGTACAACGTGCAGTCCAGACATATGGTCAAGCAGATGTACTGACGTATTTGCGTCGTGCTACAGCACATCTGTTATTTAGTTAACTATTTCAAGTATTACTTCTTTGACTATATTGTTGGCAAGTTTTTTTTATCCCTTTTTATCCTTTATATATGCTATGTATCTACATTATTTATTTGTGAAACTTGTTGTATGTTGCATTATTTGTGTTCCATTTATATTTAAAATAAATCTATGAGGCCTAGCACCAGCCTTTATGTGGAGACTATATCGTTCTTGACTTTTTTTTAATACATGTTAATTTCTATTAACCTACTCTCAAGAAACATGTATAAAATCGTATTAATTGTATCATATATTTAAATCAAATAGTTTATAATTTATATTTTAAAATCTATATATTATGGTTAACCCCACCCCCCTCTCTGCGGTCAAAGCCCCGTTGTGGTCAAACCCCCTATGGTCAAACCCCCTGTGGTCAAAGCACCTAGGACCAATGTCGATGCCAAGCCCATCTCTAGCCTAAGACCTAACCCTAACTTTAAAAGTAACCCTAACTTCGAACTATAAAAGTAACCCTAACTTCTAAGTAGAAAAGTAGATGAGATTACAATGGTAACAACAACCTAACACACACATTTTTCAATGAGACCATCAGTGTAGTGGCCTACTGTATCATCCCAAAATACAAGCACAGTCCCTATCTATTATTCTAAAAGCTGTAGGCCTGTAGGCCTACTACATATTGTCATTATTAATTTCAAAACCAAATAATATGCTTTTAAATTAAGTAACTTTCATTTCCAAATAGGGCCAAGATCTAGTCTATATTCTATTATGATTATATTTTAGTAGATAGGTCTAATGCTGTAATAGGTCTACACAAATATTTAAGTTAGGCCTATTGTTTAGTTATGCCTACCAACTACTAGGGATTTTGGTAAAAAAAACACTAATCATCATATAAAAATAAAAATTACATATTCTTGTAGAGCTCAACTATATGAAAACAAATCAAAAAAGATTTTCTGTCTAGCTCAAATAGTTTTTTTTTAGCGAATTTTTATGTGAGGGGTGGAATCCCCTTGCTTTTGCATTGGCCAATTGTGACAAGTCATGGTATACCTGCATAAATTGAGCATAGTTATTTTACTTGCAGTTGTATTTTGTTCATATTTGCAGAGTTTAACTAGAATGATATATAGAACTTGTAAATGCTATTGAAATGAATAAAAATAATACAGAACTTATATTTTTGTGTTGGCTTCCTCCCATAACCCCAAAAAACTGTGTGCTGCGCAAATATGAAAATGTTTCTTAAGCCATATTTTATATAAATACAGCAAATGAAAGAACTACAAAGTTAGAAATCTAAAGTAAATGACTTGAACACTGTTATGTGCCTATAATTGCCTCATTATTTTGGGCAGGTGAAGTAGAGTCCATCTTTAAGCCATTTTGTTATAAAACTGCTGCGCAATATGAAAATGTTTCTAAAGCAATATTTTATATAAATACAGTGAATGAAAGAACTCCATAGTCAGAAATCTAAAGTAAATGACTTGAACACTGTAATGTGTCTATAACTCACACTGCCTTGTTATTTTGGGCAGGTGAAGTAGAGTCCATATAAAAGCCATTTTGTAATAAGTGAAATGAAATTATCAGATCAATGTTTTTATGTGTGAATTGTGTATGGATTCTGATTTTCAGCATATAACGATATCTAAGGGTAAGTAGAACTTGAATACTTAAAATTACAGTTAGCACAATGCTAGTGTATAGCAACAGACAGGTAACCTAGATCTAGGTCTGACTCTTGTCAGTCTAGTCTGACAAAAATGGATTTTAGGAAAAACATATTCTGTAGAACTAGAATCTAGAGCTGAAAAAAATTAAAGATGGGTATGTAAATATATTTTGAAATAAAAAATTAGGAGATTTGTTTGCACATTCCATAAGAATGCTGTTGTTAGTTGATCAAACTTAAGGCCGGAAGATCGGGATGAAAAAATATAACAATGGTGGCAACGCGACCTACATACAGTGACCACCTCTAAACGAGTATATCTAATGTCAGAGTCAAAATATCCAAAAACAAATATCATTTCCACATATATAAGATATGTCTGCTCAGTAATCTTCACTCATCTAGAATAACCTTTTAAAAAATCGTGATTCCAACGTATTTGAAACTAGCCTTCATACAGGGGGAAGACCAAAGCAGAGACAGCGTGCAATCAGATCGCTAAGCCATCAAAACAATGGGAAAACCATTCTACTTTTCATTTAACATTAGGAACTGACCTTTTAAACTTAATTAATTACCATAAATTAAAAACTTATTAGTATGCAAAACCAAATCTCGTGCCCCCGGTATCAGAAAGTAATGGGCGATTTCGGGTCATGTTTTTACCGCGATCTCGGCCGATACCGACAACCCTACAACTACCAACTAAATTTGACTAGATTATCTAGACTAGATCTAGATTTTCTAGGTCTAGAATTCTAGATCAGATTATCAACATTTAAACAATGATTGGGCTGGGGCAAACCTGTCACAGTGACAGCCACAAATCAGCAGTGTCACACTGACTACCAACAAATGGAATAGAATTGAATAGATCTAGATTTCTAGTCTAGATCTGATCTAGATCTATATTAAATAAATCTAGAATCTAGATCTAGATCTAGATTCTAGATTCTAGATCTAGAAGATTTCCAAAAATAATGTCAAATTTTGAAATATTAGGCTAGGCCGGTAATCTATCGTTTTGGGTACGTAAAATCGCCCGCGGCTATTTATGTACGAAAACGTTACCTCGTTGTCAAGGCTTTAATAGAAGTATATTGTCATACTTTTGTGTCAAATATTATAGATAAATGAATAATAAACCTAAATCAATGGCTAAATATATCGATATAGGCCAGAAATTAACTTTAAACAGCAGTGTCTGAGAGCAAGATTTGCTATATAAACAGCAGCCATTTGTAAAATAGAGTGGCTTCCCCCTGAATCTGGCGCTAAAAGCTTATAAAAATAAAACTTCGACAAGATGGCTGCTATAGTAAATGAGCATGGTTGCATCTGTTGGAAACATCACTAGTCTTCATTTATTACGGAAAAGTTTTAATTCAATTGTTTAAAAACAGGTACATAAATGAATCAAAGAAACATTTTTGAATTTTTAAAAACATAAATCCTCCTCAAAATGTGAAATAATTATTAAAATTTAAGGAGTCACCTGTTTTTCACATTACAAATCGCGGGCGATTTTACGTACCCAAAACGATAGATTACCGCTAGGCCTAATCTAATACTTAATAAATAGTAAATAGTTAATACTTATTACTTAATAGCAGACCATTACAATCTTAAATAACATACTTAAGTATTACTCTGAGATTAGTAGTAG